ATAACCACAGATCTTCTAACTAGAGAAGTTGTTTTTCTTCTCTGTGCCTCAGTTTTCTGAGCTATGATATGGAGAGAATAATATTCCTACCTCAGAAATTAGTTGGAGCTCAAACTTGTAATTTTACATATTAGTGATGTTTTGTATATTAAGTACTTTGCATGAATTACCTTATTTAATCACCATGACAATTCGTTATTCTCATGATTTCAATGGTTTGTCTTTCTGTCTCTTGAAAAAGCTATGCTCCTCCTCCTCAAGGTACACTCTCCAGACCCGCACACCATGGGCTTCCTCTTTTTAGAGTTTCAAATTTGACCTCATAATGTAATTTGCCTGGCCCAGTCTATATAGCTTCCCTATTTACATCCACTTTCAAGCACATTACCTCAGATTTACTTCCTCCATAAAACTCATTACCTCCTGAGATTTTCTTTGTTTTCATGTTTGCTCCCACTTCTCTAATAAGCTTCATGAGAGAAGTGAACTGATGGTGCCCTATTCCCCGCTAGAAAGCTGGAACCTGGTATTATGTCTACTTTACATGGTCTCTTAAAACAAAACAAAAAAATATTGTGGAATTAAAACCTAAATAAAGAAATTAAGTAGCAGAGAATTAATGTAAATAACTCCAGGGATTTTGGTAAATTTAAATACGTGCCAGGGTGATACGTCCACTTGCTTCTTTCAGTAGTTCTTGAAAGAGCTGATGAGTGTCTGAGCTAGAGCCATAACACAGATACAAAGAAAAAGTAAAATTTAAAGCTATTTCAGGGAGAAAATTGACCAGGTTAGTTACTAATAAGATAATGGGTAGTGGAAGCATGAAATGGAGAGGTGATTCTACCTAAGTGGGCAGGTATTGATGCCAAGAAATGATACAGGGAGGCAGGGGGCTGGTGCTCAGTGATGGTGATTAGGCTACTACATTTAGCTGTGTTTCATCAGCATCCCAGGATTAGTATTCAATGACCAGTGGACAATTGGCTGCTCAGGGGGCAATGGTCAAACTTATGCAAGGCCACCCTTAATTCAAGGCCCAGATGATTCCAGCTCCATCCCCATGCTATCTCTCACTCTTGTTCAGGAGTCACTCATACAAGGTGGAAGAGATGCTAAAGCCTAGATTAATTCTTATTAGGTCATATCAATTTTTACTTTTCAACTACTAGTCAGGTCTTTTGGTTGAAGAAAGCCATAGGCTGTTGCATGGATTGATTACTTTCTTCTCAAAGCCGTATATGTTGTTCCCCAACACCTCTCAAGGCAGTTGGTCTTTTTGATATTTGACTAAGAATTTTCTCAAACATCAAAGTCAAGATGTGTGGTTCAAGATAAGGAGATAGGGGATTGTAATTTTTTGCCTTTTATTAAAGATAAGCAATTTTCAAACATTTAAATATATGGTTCTATGGTTCTTCACACAGAAAAATATAGTTTGCTAGTCTTAATGCTTTAATTGGAAGCAAAAATAGAAATAATATTTTAAATTTGCATTTAACAAATGATTATAAAATGGAGGCAGGCAGATTTTGGCTTATTGTGAAATGGTCCTTAAAGCTGACAATGGCCTATAGATGCCTTCCAATAAAAGCAGCACTGCTCTCTGGTTGTAACTAAGGATTTGTAGACCACTTGGGGAGGTAGGCTGGATGTCTCTTTATTGCTCCCTTCACACAGTAACACTCTCTGATTCTGGGAATCTTAGTTCTTCATAGCTCAGCAAGAGCTTGGACTTTTCTATAGGAAACTGACTTTCAGGCCCCTCACTTTGGAAGCATCATGGCAGAGAAAATTTCCTCAGCCCTGACAAGCCACTCATGCCTAGAACCACTTAGGTCAAGTCAAGACTCACCCTTGGGGTCTCTGAGATTCAGCATGTAGACAAGGGCTAACATTGTTTTCCTCCAGGTGACTGAGATCTGGTATCTGGTTGACCTACCTCTCTATTGCTCCATGTTCCCATGGCATCTTTTCAGTACTATGACCCGGACCATGGATAGGGAGTTAAAAATGTCACCTTGCTTGTGGGGCAATGGAATCAATGTGTTCTCTTTTCCAAGTAAGCTATTGATACATGCTTGGGATTTCTTGTGAGAGGTGGTGACTAGAGAATATGGTGGTTAGTTGGGGAGAGAATTTTATATCTGTAGACTACATGGACTCCACAAATCATATGCCAAGTCTAGGGTGGGCTCAATAGCAACCACTTTCCATATTTCTAAGCTACAAGTTTTTAGTCATTCTGGCCTTTGTGTTTAGTATATTCTGGACTTTTTTTTTTTAATTTCCAAAAACATCCTTTTAGGAAAGGACTTAATTAAAGCTCATTTGCATCCTTCATAAATATTTTTTGGGGGCTAAGTCACTGCTAATATTGGTGCAGAAAAAGTGCTAACAGAACATGACAGTTTTGTTCCTCACTAAGTGATTGTAGAGATCCATTTGAAATATCTGTCTGCATTGTACAAATGACTATATTTTCAGAAAACATCTGGTAGATTGGCAATTTTGACTCCAACTTGAAAGGAGAAAAACAATCACTCTAATAACCAATCATCACTGACAAATGGTGGTAATAAAACCTGCAGCCCAGGATCCTGTAGGATTAAGGCTTTGCCACTTTTCTATGGCCTTCCAGGTTGCTGATGATATGCTATTTCTTATTTTTGAGACACTGTGCATGTGTGCAATGAAAAAAAATCAAGAAAATGTATCATGACCATAATTTTAATGTTTGTGCAAATAGGACTATTACTAAGAAAACTCATTTTTTCCTGTCACTTATACCTATAGAATGTAATATAAGTTCTAGCAGAACAGGGATTTGTTTGTTTTTGGTTTGGTTTTGTATTTTAAAATGTTTTATTTGCTGCTCTTTCTCTCAGCACAAGGAGCAGGAACTGCCATATGATAAATATTTGTTAAATGAGAAAGTGCATCAACTGAATTTTAATATATTTCCTTCAGTCAATGCCACCGAAACAAACTGCTTTTTTATTCTGAGACTTTTCATTGTGTGTATTGGGTCATTTGAAGTTCTTTCCATGTATCCTGCATTTGTTTTGTACAGACCAGTAAAATTTTAGGACATTCATGTTTTAACATCACCAATAGTGTTGCAGAACATAGGAGAGGGGGTACAGATGTGGTCTCTTGCTCCAAACATAAGCTGTTCACCCTTGCTTTCTAATGTTCTATCTCCTTGCTAGCAAATAATACTATCTTCTCTTTCTGACTCTAAGAATGTGTAATGCTTGGAAAAAATGAATGAAAGAATATTTGCACATAGTATATTTGTAAATGCACATAATAAATTATATATAATACCTTTATAAAGTCTACAGATTGTTTCCCTTTAAATATCTTCTATTTTTTTTTTATTCCTAGAGAATGTTAAAGAGTTGGAGGGAAAGAAAAGTTAGGCAGCATAATGGTTAGTCTCATGTGTCAATCTGACCATTCCTATAACATCCAATTACTTAATCAGTCCCTAAACTAAGTGCTGCTGAAAGTGGTAATGTCTACATTTAGTTGACATAAGCCAAGGGTAGATTACTGTAGTAAGCTTCATCTACTTGATTGAAGGTCTTAAGTCAAAACTGAGGTTTCCTTCAGAAGAAGAATACTTGCTGCATTGCTTCATGCTGTCTGACTTCCCAGCCTGCCAGGTGTCCCTATAAATTTGTCCATGTTCATCTACACAATCCTGTTGAGTCATAGATATTTGTATATACCTGTATATGTATATGTTTGTACTAACTCTGATTTTCTAGAGAACACTGATAGACATGGGGAGAGAGTAATCAAAGGAGAAAAGTCACATTTAAAAAAATTCCACTTTTTAGTACTTTTTTCTAATCTGGTGACATTTCTAGTTTGGCAGTATATATATTACACATCCAGTGCATAGCAGTCAAGAAATTAGCAAGAGAATAGTCATTATGAAAAATGGCAAGGAGGTTTCTCAAAAAGTTAAAAATAGAATTAGCATAGAACCCAGAAATCCTGCTACTGTGTTATAAGAAGGAAGTGGAATCAGTATGAGTCACCTGCATGCTTATGTTTATTGCAGGATTATTGCCAATAACCAAAAATTGGCTTTAACCTAGGTGTTTATCATTGGATAAGTGGATTAAGACAATGTGGTTCATAAACACAATGGGACACCATCCAGCAATTTATGGAAATCCAGTCATTTGAGACAACATGGATGGAATTGGAGATCATCGAGTTAAGTGAAATAAACCAGGCATAGAAAGACAAATGCTACATGATCTCATTCTTGTGTGAAATCTAAATAAGTTGATGTCAAAAGAGTTGAGAGTAGAATAGTGATTACCAGAGGCTGGGGAGGGAAAGATGACTTAAGTTAATCAGCAGGTACTAAGTTATAGCTAGACAGGAGAAATACGCTCTCGTGCTCCTTTGTAGAATAGAGTGACCATAGATAATGATAACATATTGTATATTCCAGAAAAGTTATAATAAAGAATTTTGAATATTTTCACCATAAAGAAATAATACGTATTTGTAGAGATGAGTGTATTTATCTTGAGTTGCCCTTCATACAATGTATACATGTACCAAAATATCACATGGAATCCTATAAATATGTATAATTTTATGTGTCAATTTAAAAATAAAGAAAGAAGCTCACAAGATAGTGCTGTAAGCAATGTCCAGCTGCTCTGCTACAAGACAGGCAACAGGAATCCCAAGAGTTACTTGAGTCTTATTCCAATCCCTCAGATCAAACAGAAATTCCCCCTGTGTTTTGAGGCACAAGCTCTTGTCACTAACACTGTGCTGTCAGTCTGCCAAATAGGAAATGCTTCATAATTGCACAAAAGCGCTCTAGGTAAACACGAGTGCATCAATATTGTTGCTTTTGCAGTAGATGATATATTGATTTTTTTTTAGAAGCAAAGCACGACAATGCATGCAGAGCTAAACAAATAAAACAAACATGTTGGGGGCAAAAAGAAAACCAAACTTGCTTTGAATAGCAGGAGACGACGTTTTGGCAGCTGAACAGGGCAAGAGCTTCATGAGTCGCTCTTTAATGCTGCGTTTGGTGTTGTTCTGAGCGTAGAGGAAACCTAGAAAATATATGATCAGTTCTGTTAATGCTGTTTGCACAGAGGAACCAGCCAAGCTGCAGGGTTATCAGGGAAGCCCAGGCAGGATGGGGATGCAGCCAGCCACTCAGTCAATCACAGGCAGTGGGTTAGGACCCCAGATATTTTCCTCTTTATCTGGGGTTTCTTTACAAACCTTTCCCTTATGGTCCAGTATGGATTAGCAAGTGAAAACAGAATCATGAAGGATAACTACTGAATGATAAAAATAAAATTTGGCAGTCTTTTTTGGGCCTTAGATGAGGAGTAAAAGAAATATCACAAAAAGAGTTAACTGGATTTGAAATCTCAACATTTAAACCAGCACTAATGGCCCACGTCACAATTTTCTGTTCTCATTGCTCCCTGTTTTTGATTACCAAGGAGATGCTGTACATAAACCATTCACACTGCAATCATCTGTTAGTACCTTTGCCTTCCCTGAAAGTGAGAAAATAAATGTCCTTGATCTGCAACTTCATCAGCAAGGGCTGACATGTCCAGAGATGTGACAGTCCTTCACATTTTTCACAAATGGACACTAATGAATGGAACTTAGTCAAGCAGAAAAATTCCAAAGGAAGGAAGGTGTATTTGCAAAATGTTAACCCAGGAGTAGATGGTTCAGGATTGGTGACTTCATGCATTTGGAGAGGACTCAAGAAATAATCAGTAGTACCTGAGTGGTAAGCTAGCAAGGGCTGGAAACAACTTGTGATGTCAGAAGCCAACTGTCCAACTCATCATCAACTTAATCCTTCTGAGCACATGGAAGCCTAAATTTGCATGTCAATGTTCATTGCTTTGCCCCAAACTAGTATGGAAAGTGTAGAATCTAAAGCAACAGCAATTTAAATTGATCTTTAACCATCTTTATGTAGAGACCTGGTAAAAATATTACTTGTACATTTTTCTACTTCACAATTCCTACCTTGGAGTTATAAGCAAATCCTGACCCTATTTCCTCATGAAGTTGTTCCATCAGCTAAAACTCTTAGGGACGGGGTGACAAAACGAAGTAGTAAATACATAAATCAAATCAGATCATTCTTCTGTTTAAAACCCTTTAAGAACTTCATGTTGCCTTGTGAAAAGAACCCACACTTCCTATCAAGGACCCAAAGAGCCTGCATGATCTGACTCTGACTCGCTCTGTCACATTTTTATTCATCTTCCTTCTTGCTCTAGACTATCAGTCATTGGCCATACTGACCTTCCTATCTTGCTTGAATTTACAATGTAGAACCTCCCATGTCCTTGGCACTTATCTGGTGTGAAATGTCTTGTTCACTTGATATCCATGTTCTGGCTGAGGATCTGACATATAATATGTCAATAAATTCACTATGAATATCTAAAGAAGACCCAATTTCACTTCCTAGATTTGTATCAAAGCTTCTAAACTATTAAAAATAAGTCTGATTTGCACAAACAAACTTTAATCTGCTTCTTCCTTCTACATTTCTATAAGAATGTCCATCTGGGCACTCTTTCCTTTGTAAACTTTTCTGGGACTTTAGAGTTAGCTTCACCTTTTCAAGTAGGTATTCTGTCCTTTCTATCTAGACCATTTCCAACTATAGCATGTGGTATTCCTGCAGTATGTTCAGCCCTTCACCAATGGTCAATTTCTACATACTTAGGCTGCCTTTGAAACAGTTCAAATACACTTTCCTCAGGCAAACTTAGCCTCTGAATCTCCAAGGGGCTCTTCTATCATCCCTGTTTTTCCAGCCAGCATCCCACCTATTGTGTAAGGTATCACACCCTATTTTAATGAGACCCTATTCTGATAAGTAACTCAAGGGAGAAGGTTCTACCAAACTTCTGTAGTAGATCAGAACCATACCTACCTCCTTTGCTTTAGATTTGATTTCTTGACATCTAGCCAGACTCTCCAATTGTGTCAGACACTCAAATTTCCTGTTCTCCCCTTAAATTCTGTATATGCCAAGCCCAATTACTATGACAATTTCTTGAACCCTCAGGTCTGGTGTGGAGAAAATAACTTCCTCCTTCCCAAGCACTCACAGCTATTAATTTTACCTCCCTTGTTCCCAGCTCCAATTTAGGAAGATAGACAATTTGCCATTTTTAATTAGGAATTAGAAGTCTAAGGTTTTAGTCTCTGTTTTACTAATTTAAGCTGAGTGACCTTGTAAAGATCACTAAACTTGTGCCTTTCTTTGTAAAACAAAGGGATTGATACAAAAAAGATCTTGTTCAGAATTTAAAGGATCCTTTCAAGAGTATGGTCATACATAATTTGTGTGTGATTGTTCCTTTGTGTCTCTAGCGTTTTCTCCTTGTTGAGACCTTAAGCTTCTAGAAGACAGGATATGGATGTGATACAATTTTCTGCCTCTCCTCTCTTTTCCTCTGCTATCAGGTCATCTGTCCCTTTCTCCTTAAAATGTAGTAATTGAGTGTTCAGGCACTGGAACCAATCAGGTTGGAGTCTGAACTCAGCATCACATGATCAGCAGTTACTTAATTACTTTGTCTCTGAATCAAGGTATACTCCTTGGTAGAATGAATTAGCAATAGTATCTACCTCAAAAAAGTAGTTGGTGTCAAACAAAATGACTTTTTTTTTTTTTTTTTTTTTACTTTTTGGTAATACCATATTCCTTTCTGCCTCTGGCCTTTTCACATGCCGTTATCTGTGTCTGAACTTTTGATTTACCTCCTCATTGTCTAGTTAATGTCTGTTTACCCTTGAGAGTTCAGTTCAATGATTATTTCCTGAGGAAAAACTTATACCACAGACCAAAGAAGATCATGACTAGCAATCATGTTTTCAGTTTCCTTTATCTTTCTCTCATAGGAAATATATTTAATATAATTAATGATGCAATTACACATTTGATGTATATCTTCCTTACTGCAATGTAGAATTGAAGATTTCTACTTCCAGCCATTAAGAATAAAAGTTATTGGATATGTTGTCCCACTGTAAGCAATCATATATCTGTATAAACCATATGAGAAACCTAGATTCCAACCATGGAAGAGTAAGTCATATAGAACTGTGATGCTTGAGAGAAAAGAAACTGAAGAGGTGAGCCCAAAAATGCTCTGGCTGTCTCTTCCTGGTGGTATATTCCTCTCATGGTTCAGACAGGTGAAGTCTAAGCTCACTGAACTGAGATGGCAAGAGTGAGGGAGACTCCTGAAGTGGTTAGAGTTCATGAGCACAGAAAGGAGAGAAGTGATGTCTGAGTGTGCTGGGGAATGGCTGGGGGATCTGGGTGAGGATTAAATGCAAGCTATTAACTAAGGGCTGAGAAATGCATACTGAGGGTGAGGCTTCCTAATGATTGTCAGGGGGAGGTTGGGACTGAGAATCAACTGGAGACATCAGAAGTAAGTAATGCTGGGAGGTGTTGGAGTTCTGGCACAGAAAAAAAGAAAAAGAAACTGCACTGAGGACTTCTATCATTCACTGTGAGCTCAGAATGACTGCTTTAGGAACAAGGATAATTCTCTAGAGTAAGGATAATTTTCTAAGTATGGACATCCCCATAACTCAGGCAATATCCAAAAATGACCTTTCCAAATATGAAATATTTCGGCCATCAATGTGAAGATTCAGCAAAGTTTTGAATCTCCAGTAAGTAAAATATAAGAATCATATTTACATATAGCATAGTTATAGTACTTAAAACTAAAAATGAGAAAAGTTTTTAAAAAAAACAAGAAAAGGACACATATGAGGGTATGTTGTATATATAGAATAGATTCCATCAGGAATAGTGGAGACCAGATAACAATGTAAGAGCACCTAATGTTCTCTGGGAAATACAGACTATCAGCCAAGAACTATATACTCACTGGAGATCATTTTTTGAAAATGAAGGTGGAACAAAGATATTTTCAGATAAATTAAAGCTATGATAATTCATAGTAAATAGAACTGATTATAAGATATGCTAAAGAAATTTCTTCAGGCTAAGGAGATGTGATATAGGAGCTCAGATCTTCAGGTACAAATAAAGAGCACTTACTATGTGAATAAATATAAAATATTTTTATTCTCAATTTTAAACAAAAATCTACTGTGATTTTATTATATTTGCAGCTGCAAATTTTTCTGAAAATAGTTGCATGAAATTTGGGGAGGTGTAAATGGAATTTTACTTTTGTATGGTACTTACATTTTATAAAGAGGTACAATATTAACTCTAAGTAATCTATGAAAAGAGAAGGTTACAGGATACAATCTCTAAATGTTGTGAGATCAATTAAAAATAGTACAGTCAATATAGTAATACAATCAAAATTCCAATACAGAGTTAAAATGGAATAGCTAAAATATTTAGTTAACTCAAAATAAGCTGGGTGCAAAAGAACAGAGGGACAAAAACTAGATGGAACAAGTAGAAAATGCATAATAAGATGATAGAATTATACTTAACCATATAATTAAGTCTGTATCCATCTTTCTTATTCATTACTGTACTCCTATCACTTTAGATAGTGCCTAATATATAAAATGTCCAATCAGTCTTAAGCAAAATCATGAAATCAGACTATGTATCTTTTATGATGGTTGCAGAATGTGCAGATTAGCTAGCTACATGTCTCTAATTAGCAGATGCACTTAAAATTTGCATGGTATGCTTCCTCACAGTGTGAAACAGTCACCTCCCACACCTAAGTGGGTAGCTGTGTGTGAAAGTACTTTCTGAGGGTGCTACTGACAGATGTAGGGGTGGGACTGCATGACCAACCAATGGCAGTAAAAGAAAATTGATGACAAAGGTAAGTCAGCAGTAAAGTGCCTTACAGTGTCGGAGATGCCCCTCCACAGAGACTAAACACTCTGATGTATTAATTACCTTACATCCCATAAACATTTATGTATTCATTTATTTTAAGACATTTACTATAACATATCATAAACATTAAAAATGATATTCTTTATTTGTCTGAGGATGCATAGTGGTTATAGTGCTCCTGATAATCTGACCATCT